GCATGTCATCATCCCTATTTTATCCACCACCCCTCGAAAAAGTAAGAATTTAAACGTAAAATACTCTATAAAATTGTTATTGCTCAAACAAACCATAATTCTTATAGCCTTCAACTCTGTTTGGTTACAGAGATATCGAATAGAAAATCAAACCCCTCCTGCAACACCCACCTGTCACATCCTCTCTTTCACAATTCGTTGATAATTCTCTTTTATGCTTCATTATATATTACCTATAACTAATAGAAAGTCAAGGTTTTAATCTATCAAATCATATTGTATAACATTGTATTCTGAACAGAATATCGTCAATTTCACTCACAGTACAAGATTCGTCCCTGTGGGAAAGTTAATGAGTAGCTTGGATGAATTTGTAACAACTCCTGACCAGGAAGTATGTGAGAGACTGCCAAATTTTGTGAAGATATACAACGTATATTGAAAGTTAGAAATATTAAATCTATGAAGACTTCAGCCAAGTACAAAGAGGTCACGTGGTCGGTCAAATGGACCAAGCCCAGGATGAGAGAGTTATGCCATCCAAAAAGCGTGCTAGCACAGCAAATAGGATTTTAGGTACTATCTATAGAAATATTTAATTCAAGTCTAAAGAGGTTATAATTTCATTGTATAGGTCATTGGTTATGCCACATTTGGAGTATTGTGTTCAGTCTTTGGTTCCTTACTTCAGAAGGGATACTGAGTTGTTGGAATGGGTTCAAAGAAGAATGGTATCTAGGATGGAAAGGTTGTCATACAATATCAGGCTAAGATCTCTGAAATTGTTTTGACTTGTAAAAAGAAGAGTTAGAGCGGATCTAATTGAGGTGTTTAAGATTGTTAAGGAAACTGACGGGGTTAATGCATCATCTTTTTTGTACTTAATGGACTAGGGGACACAAAGTCAACATTTTACTACAATAAAAATGTATTTCCAAGAAATTCTTACCTCTTCTCACAGAAAAGATTTTCCTGACTTGTATTGCCTTGGTACTCCCACCTACCCCTCAAATGTTTTTAAGTGAGGCAGCTGTGTGATAGCATGTGACAGCCCTCCACCAATTGAAGTGTGACATAACTCCTAACACAACTGGCTCCCTCTATGCAGCTTAGCCCAACTTCCCTTCAAGATCGAGCAACAGAAAAAGAAAAGACAATAGAAGTGGGGAGGAAGGGTGGAAAGTATGAGAAGAGGTAAGAATCTTTCAGAAATACATTTTCAGTGTAAAAAAAATTAACTTCTAATATGATATCTTACATCCTCTCACAAAATAGCTAGAATCCCACACTGACCCAGTGGAGGGACCAGTGTAACAGTACCTAGAAGAAAGCATCCAAAGGAAGCCCATGGGAGACCACCCACTTCTAAGCCAGATATGCTCTTCACCCATGAAATTGATGTGTAGCAATAAGGACAAAATCATGTTGGAGGACCCCAGAAATAAATGGAGGGACCCCTGTTGTAGAGTAGCTAGGGCATGGCAGACTGTAAAATTGAGTTCAATCTCAACCAACACCAGAAGAACCATGATAAAAGTATCTCGTACATGATAGGGAGAGGGTCCTCCTTCATTCAACCGGAAAGGAAGAAGATCATTCATTTTAAGGACCCACATTATCATGTGTGCATGATCAATACAACCAACACCAGTACCTCCGGGGAACCGAAATCCGGTTGACAGTAGGAAGGAAGATGCCTAGCCAGAGGGGTGAACTGCATCTTGGCAAAAATCGTCCAATCCATAGCCAGGCGGCATATGGAATTGAACATCAGGTCCATAGCAAGAGGAGTATCTACACTGGCAGAACATCACCTTACTCTCAACCATCACTCAATTTTAACAGTCATTGGAGAAAACTCAACACTTCCTCAGACAACGAACTTAAACCCTCCGTTTTGTCCAACAATGACTAGCACCTTGGAACAGACCCTTACTCAAAACAGCATCGCAGTATACTGTACACTTATCCATGCCCACACTATACATGTAATGTTGACTTTGATTCTTGACCAAAATCATTGGTAAATTCTCTAACTACGAACTTGACAATATGAACTCCCACAAAAATGCTTTTGGTCCATCTTTTTTGTTTGAAAAAGAATGTACTTCTTACAAGAGAAGTGCTGGTACAATCTACCAAATGGGGCTGAAAACATCAGGAAAAGTTTGCTTTTGTGATTGGCTAAAAATGATGTTATAGTCACTAAACTTTCTATCGTGCACAAGCTGCATCTCTGTGCTGCCTTATGCATGTAAAATTTTGTATGGAGTTCAATTGAGCATGAATGGTTGTGTGGTAACACAGTACTGTGTATATAGCTCAGTTAGTTACATTACCATGCATTGTACTGCACAATGTTTTGTGCATATATATGGGTAAGGAAGAGTTCGCAACAAAAACAAATGCTAATATCATGAATATTTAGTGAGACTAATTTCTAGTATAGATGCTTATAACAATAAAACTAACATGGCTGTCTCAACTTCTTATTGATAAACTAAAATCATTAAGTTCACAAATCAAACTCAGAATTTTCATAGTTAATCATCACACTTGAAACACTGACTCTATTTTGGTTCCCTACATATAGGCATAAGATTAACATTAGACACACATTACCAATACGGAATGCCTAGCTGCCATGAGAAAAGTGGAAAAATCCATAAATTAAACAGAACATAATAATGATAACTGGAAACAAAATTTCATGAAAGTTTTGATCAGTACAAAACATAATAAGAATAAATAAAATAAGGCTAGCTTTGCTTCTCCAGGTGGGTACAAACTCTGAATATGAACAACAATATATAAGCTCAGGCATTGTGAATGTATTATGGTATAGTAGTATGTGTGAGAGTTCCAATGCAAGTCTAGTTTTCCTACTTTACTGTTCTTGGCAGGAAGCCAAGCTGGTTAAAATGAAAACATTGAACATGATTAGCCAAGATCGCTTTTCTGTTTAAAAAATTTACAGGTCATTGACTGTTTGTTTCCTTAAGATACTATGTAATATTAGCTTCGTTTAGGCTTATTCTTTCCAATGTAAGGAAATTATTTCCCGGGAAATAAGGCATCAAAAATTAAACATATTCCATTTGTTATGACTGGGGCAGGAAAGTGAGGTGATACCATCCATTATGACTGCAGGGGAGATTTTAACCCCCACCAGTGCTGTACACCTATGGCATCAGTTTTCAAAAAGAGTGAGATTGCCCTTCCAGGAACCCTACAGTCCCAAAGAGGAGGAGGAGGAGGCACATCCAGTTGAATAAAGATGCAAAATTGCTTAAGATTAATGTACTTTTTGAAAATAAACAAGATATAAAAACACCAGGATCTTTGTATATGAACATTCTCGTAATTGTTCCATGCATTTCTATATCATATTATATAAAATTGATAATAAAGTGATTCCTAAAAGCATTACCAATGACCTAAAATTCAGTACAACATGGAACATTAGGATTTACAGACAGAACCATCTAACAACATGAGTTCCTTCATGTATTAAAAAATCAGTTCTAGATTTAAAACATTCCTTAGTAAATGAGAAATTGGACCAGCAAAAGTTTCTTCAGAATCAGCACTAAGCAACAAATCGTGCTCTTCATACAATAAAGGTGAAGAAACCAGCAAACGTTTTTTATTATTATTATTATCTTCATCATCATGAGGGAAAGGTGGATATTATGCAATTAAAGGAGTCCACATGAACGGGACACCAGTAGACAATATAGAATTAGGGCCTGAATACATTGATCAACAGTAACTGTTTACAATACAGCTATGGAAACTCCTTGCACACTAGTGGCAGACAAGTAAGTCTTCCAAAGAAGTTGTATAGTTTTCAATACTGACAGATATAGTTAACCTTAATTTCATAATTCATTGTGAGTAAAATTAACACCATGACAGTCAAAAAACAAATCTGGCTAATGGCAAGAAAACTAAAATTATGTACGCTCTCCTGAATCAAGCACAATAAATCACATGGAAGGTAGAAGAGTGGAGAATTCTGGTTAAGTTAAAGTATGCTATGCCTTGTGTCAAGGACATTAAGAACAAAAATTCACAGCATTTCTATGGTAAGTCTATCTGATTTTAAGTATTTCTCTCTAAGACATCCATAATCTGTGATAGACACAGGGGAAGTTTTAAATAAAAAATAGCTACAACTCTGCAATGACTTTAGGTAGACTCTCAACTGGTAGAAACTTATAGAAACTCCTAATCTAAAGCACAAATTTCTGTAGTACAAAATAGCTACTAGTTTGTAATGATTACAGGTACCTTCTAGACTAGTAATGAACTACAATCTAAGAACAAATTTCTAAAGTACAGCTACAGGTACCTTCTAGGTTGATGACAATTTATGGAATGCCACAGTATATGACAAAATTTCTATAAAAAAAAAAGGTACAACTTTGGAATGACTACGAGTACATTCTAGGCCAGTAGTACATTACAGAAACCTCCAATCAGACAACAAAATTAAGGAGTGCAGTTTTTAAAATCAATAGGAACTTTGTATATTTTTTGGTCAACTAATGAAATGCATTTAAATGTTTAATTCATAATATTATTACTAACTTTTAAATTAAAGTTTCTTATTATATTCTCACTAATGTAGATAACAGAGATATACTCCAACTATTAGAAGGAAGTATCTACTTACAGGACAAAAATTGGAGTGCTCTGCAATATATAATCCAACACTTTCATTCTCTCCTGATAAAGCCATGCAGAGCAACAAGGCATCTCTTGCTTGTTGACCAATAGCTCCTTCTCGGTGAACAAAAGGTATCAGAAGAGAAAATATGAGGAACCTAAACATGGGCACATAATCACACTAAAAACCTTGTAGTAAATCCAGAACAAAATATTGATTATATTCAAATTATTGAACCACCACTTTAATTCAATGAACAGTTCTACAAGCAACATACAAATGCTGTATTATAAAATTTCATCACCACATATCAGCAATTCTTAATATACAATGTTCTTAATTTGAGTCATAGAGTTCCTTACAGAAAATGTATGCTCTAGATGAAGGTGAAAAGCCAAAAAGTTGAGCAAATGAAACAACTTGAAAGATTCTCTGGAGTTCAAGGTTGTTTTATCTATTCATAATTATGTGTACTGTACTCCAGTCAGCATTACAATTCACTTGATTAATCTGATTCATACCTTAACAGTTGCTGCCCATGAAAACTTATGATGTATATGTAGCACCCAGACCACCCCTACGTCTTCTATATTCCAGCCATCCTAATGAGACCTAGTATTTGGTAAAAGGCCTTGTTGGCACTGGATATGGCAGATGTAGTATGGGTGAGTATCCAATGATCATTTTTACTGAAACAAATCTATTGGTTGGGGGTTTATGCGCTGCCTAGGCCCCCAAAAGCTCTGTAGTTGTACAGGTTTATGGATGCATTTTGAGCCATTTGGGACAACTTTCAGAATTAAATTTTAACTTGAATTTGAAGAAAAAAGAAATTCAGAAGTTACTTACAACTTGTAATATTGCCAGCTAGAAACCAGTTAATCACTCTAGTCTGGTTAAAGTTTTTAAAATCTCAGTTGCACGTAAAAAAACATCACTGAATTGACCAATTATGACCCTTTCCTTGTACAAATGAAAATGATTAATTTGACCAATAACAATTACAACGGTGTTGACAATAATATGCAAAATGTGTTTATTTCACATTATATTTAATTCATGCTTTGTAATCATGCCTTGGATAGGTCAATTTGATAGATTTCTGTTTATGGAAAGAGAACTTTCACCCATAATATATTCTCATTTGCTTTCACCAATGTGGCCTACCTAACATGATGTTTTACTATTACTTATAACAGACATCATGTCCAAGATTAACTGCAGTTATTAAAACAATATATCTATTCAACTTTACTGTTTTGGGAAGTATTGTACAACCTCAAACTCTTTATGACATCCACTATTTATCAGCTAAAAATACACTATACTATTGAAAAATGAAAGTAGTTCCTAAAATTTAAAAACTACTGTAATTTTCAAGTACATCTTGCTCTGTACCAATATTTATATGTAAAAATGATTTTCACAATTTTACATTACCTACTCTTTATTCTACTCTTGTAACAAATTCAAAAAGTGTTTGTTTTCTACATTCATATAAAACTAAAGAAGGCCTATCCCTACTAGTTGTCCCTACCTTTGAACTGATAGATAGAGTGAAGGCAGCTCTTGGGCTACTCTAATCTATATGACCATTACTTTCAAAGTGAGAAACATTTTTGTGGCCACAAGATGCCAACAATGGACCCTCCACTAGGCCATTCTTAGCATAATTCAAAAAGTAAATCTGTTATTTTTGTTATCAATCTGTAGCTATACCTGTTGTAAAATCTAAACTGTGAAAACTGAGCCAGAGTTGCATCTCTAACATTTCATAAGCAATTAAAAACAAGATTTGAACTTTTGAGAATGGTTATAATAGCTTCCACTTTCTGCCTAATACACTTTAGTTAATTTGAGTAATTTATACAAGATAATATCTATCTTGCTTTGATGCTTTATAAATAATAAAAAAATACTTTACCTTGCTGGTTCAGAATTTACATTGAAGAACATTCCCAGAAGGTTTTGATTCTGTGTTATACAAACACATATTGTATTTAGAAGTACCACAAATCGCTTTTCAACCTCAACAGGTGAACACTCTCCACAAACAGCTAAAAGCTGAAGCAATGGACGGACAAATGGTTTGTGAAACAAGATATATTCTTGGCAGTGGCTGATAAGAGTCTGAAAAAAGAAAAAAATTCTAACTGATAAATATCAATTTTTTCTGACATTTTATATTTGATAGTTGGAATTGATAATTAATGACAAATTAGTGAAAATTATTACAACACAGCAGAATTCATTCTAAAACTAACAACTGACATCAAAACATCATTCATTATCTAGTATTTGACAATGGTAATTAGGTTTGAAGTTGTGTAGTTTAAACACAGATAAAACTATTCACTGCATAAAAATCTGAACACCAAATCACAGTAAAGGCAATAGAATATTAAACAACATCTATATCTGAAGTTGTTGGGGGAGAACTTGCCAGGGCTAGATAATCTGAAAAAAGAACAGTTTAAACAACCTCTAAACCTGAAGTTGTTGGGGGAGAACTTACCAGGGCTAGATAATCTGAAAAAAGAACAGTTTAAACAACCTCTAAACCTGAAGTTGTTGGGGAGAACTTGCCAGGGCTAGATAATCTGAAAAAAGAACAGTTTAAACAACCTCTAAACCTGAAGTTGTTGGGGAGAACTTGCCAGGGCTAGATAATCTGAAAAAAGAACAGTTTAAACAACCTCTAAACCTGAAGTTGTTGGGGAGAACTTGCCAGAAATGGAACTCACTCTTACACATAATGCGACAGAAAGTAGGTCAGTCTTGTCTTTGAATCACATTCTCATTAAAACAAATGAGTTATTAATTAAACTTAAACAACTCTGACACTTTTCTTAGAATATTACAGCAATCTACTAAATTCAGTCATAACTACCACTTTATACAAGAAAAGGCATAGCAATTATCTCATTAAATATACTAGTTATTTATCATCAGTTTTAATTTTGTATAAAATCTTCACCTACGGTCTTATTCAGAGGAAACATTAAGAAACAGAAATTAAAGGAAAAATGTGACAAGTTTTTTGTTTTTTCAGTTGTACATGATTATCATAAAATACCATGACTTTGCCATATGATTTTTATAATTTCAAGATTTAGGTTAGCTAACCTGATAGAAGAAATATGTAAACAAACCCAAAAGTTGAACTTATTTGAGCAGAAATTTCCAAAGTTAGCTAATATATATATATATAAACAACTTCTAAGGTGGAACTTGTGAATGTAAGGCTAATCTGATATAAGAACAATCTAGACAGCCTCTAAAACAGCTTGTAAAGCCCGCAAAGCATCTTTAGGCCATGTCTTCATTTAATGATAAAAAACATTGTTTTCTTTGCATGTATACGCTTGATACATTAAGAACGACTGAAATAATAATTTCAGTAATAATTAATATGTATTTGTTAATTTATAGATTTAATAGATATTTGTTATTACTTTATTAACGTTTTTATGCTTATATGAGGTAAAAACGGCTGCTGCTATGATTTTGTCTGGTTTATGAGCTCGTTGCTGTCCTAATTTAGGATCTTCTTTTAATAAGTTCTTGAAAATGTTAAAAAAGAGAGAGAGAGAGAAAGGGGGCCCAACAAGGATGTTTGCCTCGGGGCCCGTGCTGGCTCTTAACGTTCCTGAAAATACACAATATGAACAACATATATTGGTAGAATTTGTTGGACAGAGCTTACCAGGGATAGTTAACCTCAGATGAAAACAAAAATGTTTCAAAGTTTAAACAAAGAATGTGAATTGAAAACCTTGCAAAAAAGAACCCAATTTGAAAAAACAGTTTTAAAATATTAGATGTATTCTGTAAGAAATATTTTTGAAAACTGAAGTTTGATCATATTTTGGTTTCTCTTTGTTACCTTTATATCTGTGTAACATAAAATTTACCACAAAAGTTATAATGTGTGTACCAATAGGTACTTGCCTCCTCTCACATAAATAGCTATTCTTGTTAAGTGCTGCCCTCTACATGCAAAAACATTTTTATGCATGCCACAAGCCTTCTATCTCCCCTTCATTAGAATTGACTGATTCCAATGCATCTCTCATGCATAGACCCTCTGCCAAAAAGAGTGACATACTCTCATGATGCATGTGGCTCCCTCTGTTCAATTCTACCAAACTATCACTTTGAGTTTTGGCAGAAGATGGAGCACCAGTTTTCTGTGGAGAGGAAGGGTGGAAAGTGTGAGTAGAGGTAAGTATCTATTGGAAATACATTCTCAGTGTAGGAAAATTATAACTTCCGATATGGTACATTACCTCTTCTCACATAAATAGCTAGAATCCTACATTGAATAGGTGGAAAGTCCAGTGTGAGGGAAAGAAGTATCCTTTGAAAGCATCCAAAGGACACTCTTTAAGATGAGATTGTCAGATTCTCAGATCTGATATGGGGAACTAGGTATACTTTTCACCTATCGTAGAAAGATGTTGCATATATGGGTGGAAAACCGAGGAGCACATCCAATTAGAAGAGAACTATGGCCAGAAAGTGATCCAAACCACGCAATATTTATGAAAATCAATCCCAGAAAATATAAAAGAGGATAAAATGTAAAAGGATGTGCTCCTAGGTGTAGAGTGGCTATGGTGCGACAGACAATACATGGCAAGTCAACTACATCCAAAACTTATACCACTGGGAACTGACATCCATGAGGGGATAGGATTAGAATCACACCAATGGTAAGTCAACTACAATCCAAAACCCAGTCGCTGGGTACCGACATCAATGTGGGGATAGGAAAGAGGATCATACCATGGTACGTCGATTACAATCTAAAATCCAGCCATCTGGCAGAGATAAAAAAAGATCATACCATCTTCACCTCAAGTTCATGAGACCGGAAGGAATCCACTACCTCCCGACTCATGAACAGGGCACATGTGAATATGATAAATTGATAGATCGATCTGGAAACCCGATATCCGGTATCAAAAAGATGTCGACATAATGTAAACCATCTCCCTCAAAGGTGAAAATGACCAGAACTACCCCAAGCGCATAAACATCCTCAGAATAATAAACATCAAGGGATAGCAGAAGGGAAAGAAGTGTAAAAATCTGCAAATACCTCCACCATGACCCACAACACTGATGGATTATAAATGAGGAAGGAATAAAGACATCTGTAACACGTGTGATGACTTATGATGATTGGTTCTACTCTAAATCCAAAACCTGGCCATTGGGAACCAACATCAAGGTGGGGGTATGATCAGGAATCCCAATCAAAGGGGTGAACTGTAATTTTGACAGCTCACTCCCATTTGTTTGTATGTTTCACATTGGAGGGTATCATATCATCTACACCATCAGAACACCACTGCACTACTCTCAACTGAATGGTTTTATAATCATTTCTACATTTTGTTTGTATTTCATTAACCCATTCAGGAGGATGCCTCCATGGTCCACCACTCCAGCAGCTTGGAACTGGAAAGTGGTAAAAACTCAAACTGCACTTGAAAGTTGAAGAAAAGGGAAGAAAAATGCAGTGGAGAGTCAGGAGGAAGGACAACACCTGAGACAGTGCAACGGGTGACCACAAAACTCAATTTTGAAAAGCAGACTACATTGATTTATTCAATCTAGCCATGGCAGGAATGGACAGCAATCCCCTTATGCTTCACCCATGCCATCCATGGGTGGTATGGCCTGGGATAGGTGTATTGTGATGCAATTATCATGAAGAATTTACATTCTAGTGATCTTGTGAAACACCCCATCTCAAGGTGAGCGTACATAGCCATGGAAAATGTCAAAGAATCAACAGTGTGGATTTAATAGCAAGATGTTTGAGAATGGTTATAGCCTTCTAAGTGGGAAACATTCAGAGTACAAACATAATACCTGGTCAGGCACCACTCACCACAAAGTGGGATCCAAAATGAAGCTGAAGCAGGGGTCTCTGAAAGAAAAAAAGGTATTAGTAAGGACTTATCTCATGTCACTGTCATGCCAAAGTCTATAGAATAGCCACAGGTGGAAGGCAATGCCCTGAGAAAGCGAAAATAGTGATGTGGCATAGGCAATGGGAGATGAATGCGTGAGGAGTTGTCCACATGCTTGATCATAGAATCTTCTCCTCCAATGGCCAATGAAGGTGAAAGGCAAGGGAGAAGGTAAGGTAATGGATCTGATGTGAGGAAACATGAAAGAAATCATGCCAGAAAGGAGACAAGGAGGAATAGGCCAACTGGATCAAATGTCACACCCAATTGGTCAGAGTAATTGGGTACAGATCATGGGAAGAGAAAGTTGCCTAGGGGTAAAAAGGTGGGGATGATGCCATGCAAGCAATATAACAATGGAGGGGATGGACAGGACAGAGGAGTCTATCCAGATAAAGACAAGGACAGGCAGATAGGGGAAAAGGAGGACTGACCTTCTTGAGCTACAGATGTATTACGAAGGAAAGCACAATACAGATAAAGTATACAGTAGAAGGAGTGGTACAAGGTCCTGGTAACATGGAGGGCAAAAATATATTTTATTATTCTTATATAGTAGCTTAAGTTATGCTGCAGGCCAGGAGGAAAAGGAAATACACCTTTAAAGAGAGGTGAAACAGAGAACACATAGACAGAGGTTCGAACGGCGGCAAAGTGAGGGCATGAATGACCACCTTAACCCATTATCTGCCATAGCCATTTTGATCTTATCATCAGGGAAAAATCACAGTTGTGAATTGAAAAAATTATAGAGAACTTATCTTTATATTGCATTTTAGATTTTATTTTTGTAAACAGTAGCATAACATTCAATTAGTTGTACAAAATTGTATTATTTAATGAAGTTTAAAGAGGAATTTAATGAAAAAAATCCTAAAATAT